GAGAGAGAGAGAGAGAACCTCAAGCAGGCTCCACACTCAGTGCAGAGCTGGACATGGGGCTCAATCCCATGACCCTGGGATCCTGACCTGAAATCAAGAGTCGGATGCTCAACCAACTGAGCCAACCAGGCGCCCCCCCGAGATGTCTCCCTTCCAGGAAGCCTGAGGCTTCGTTCACGGAGCCTCATCTCTTCACGTGTTGGATGGGCAAGGCGCTCCCTAAGTTCACGTCAGCTTTAACAGCCTTGGACTGTTTTATATGCATTCCTGTTGGTCAAATGGTGACAGGCCCTTCTGGGGACTGGATAGAGGTTATGGCCCTGCACTTTGGAAAACAACGTGATTTCGAGGGCGCACAGAGCCCGGGAGCCTGACAGGAACCGCGGGGCTGCAGGGCACAGGACGCTTGCATGAAGGAGCCGGGTGCATGGCCAAGTCAGGCTTCCTGAGCACGGCACTCCTCTGCGCCCTGTCCCTGGCGGTCAGCATTCTCCACCGTAAACCGCGGGTTCCCAGTCAGACCACGGGTCCCCTGCCTCACATTTCACTTGACTATCAGGCCCAACGGCAAAAATTTGAGGAGGCTCAGAGTAGGGGCGGAGCAAATAATGATGCTGACGTGTACCTGTCGGTCCCTCGGAACAGGTTATTCTTGGGACGTGTGCGTGGTTTTGCGCTTGGTCGGCTAACCCACGGTATACACTAGGCTTTGGCAATTCAAATGCACATTAACATTTCAAAGATGGAACTGAAAATTGTTAGAATGAGGCCCGAGAACAGACGCAATGTGCCAAGAGTGTTTTAGAACTTACTGGTGGTGCTGTTGTGCTCGGGAGACTAAAATACAGAAGGTAAAGGCCGCGAAGGCCCCGCCTTGAACGGACCAGCTGGCCAGGGCGTAGCCACACCACTCGACCACCTCCCCAAAGTAGTTGGCTGCTGTTACGTATTCAAATAAGCCTCCTGCAAAGACACACAGGCAAGTGAGGCGTTTCCCACAACGTGATACATTACTGACCTATGAGGCAGCAGTGGATACGTACCTGGAGAACATAAATCCAACTCCGGGAAAAACAACTCAGAGAATTTGAGTGAATGAAACACTCAACATTACTAGTTTTACTGTCTCACACCACACTTTCTGGTGGCATAAACCTGTATGAATAGCTATGCATTTATCTGAATATAAAAAACTACCCTTTTAAAATCCCTTCACTAGTTCATGAATCACACTGGTAACACCCAAGTAAACACAGAGAACACAGGATAACAATTAACGAACCAGCTTAAGAAGACGGACCTGTACAGGGCCCTGGACCCAAAGTGGAAGAAAATAATAATTTTCAAGGGCAGACTCCTTCCTTCCGTCCTTCGTTCATTCCCTCCTCAATGTTCACAGACCCTTCAGTCTACATCACAGACCAGGCCCTGCTCTAGGCGCTCGGGGTGAACCGGGACAAGACCCTGCCTCCTGTTCTAGAACATTAAACCCCAACGTGATGCACAAGGAAAGCATGGCATACAGCAGGAGGTGGGCCGTGAGGAGGACCAGAGCAGGTGAGAGGGGCCAGAAGTCAGACTGGGGGTGGAGACAGTCCTGGTCATGGGCCCCTGGCATTTTAGTTTTACCTCCTGAGTATTTAACGTTTTTCAGTTTCAGAAGCTGTCTTGCTTTCTGTTTTGTATCTACTTAGTTCTTTCTATCGTATATTACTCCTTTTCTCATAAGTTCAATCTCTCTTAGTTATTAAACAATTAGGTAATCACTTTATGATCTGTTTCTATTAACTCTAAGATCTCGTGGTAGCACATGTTCTCGTGGGTTCTGCCACTTTTGAGTGTGGCCCTTACTGTGTGGCATGTGGTCCATCGGGCTCCCTGAGGCCTGGGTTAAAGGCAGGTCCCCTCAGGGATCTGGGCTTGTACAGGCTACGTGCATGAGGGCACCACCTCCCTAGGGTCACGTGGGTCCTAATTCACGGCTTGAGGTGCACGTTTGGGCCACAAACCTACGTGAGGGCCGCTGGTGGTTATGGACTCTCACGAGACGTGCCCTGGCCTCCGACATTCACCCAGGTTTTGCCCTCTCGATGATTATTACTTCCTTTTTACCATCCTACCACGTGGATGCATTTTAAAAGATGAAAAAAACACCTTTACCCAATGATTTTAATTGTTTGCGGAGAGAGGACTGGTTGTCTAGTCTATGCTGTCGCACAGATAGGACTAGCTTCCTTTTTCCTTAATAACCGTTCAGTTAGCCAGAATCTGATAGAACAACGGTCACAGCGATTGCCATCAATAATTGTGACTCATGTCAAAAACCTGCGGCCAATACTATGCTTTACTTATTGGATCCCGACAAAACTGCAACAGCGAGGCATCGTGTGAAATGACTTGAGAATCAGTTCTCCATTTTTCAGTACGTACCCCTTGGTATTTTATATCCAGTCTCCCCTGGTTTCCGGAGATTCCTCAGGATATGGTCGGAATGGATGTTTATCAGCATGCCTATTAACCATAAGCAGAAACCTAAAGATAAGAAAATACACAAGAGTATTATAATCAATAAACTACGAAATTCACAAACCCAAGCCTGAATGAATGGTGTTACTATAATCTGTTCTATTCATTATTAGCAAACCACGTTAGCCACAAATGACAGTAAAAATCATTATAATTAATATGTTTCATTTAGAAAAATAATTTACACAGCACTGCTGTTAGGTCTGCTAAATAGAGTTCTGTTTTTCATTAAAAAAATTTTTTTAACATTTATTTATTTGTGAGAGACAGAGAGAGAGCAAGATTTGGGAAGGGGCAGAGAGAGAGGGAGACACAGAATCCGAAGCAGGCTGCAGGCTCTGAGCTGCCAGCACAGAGCCCGACGCGGGGCTCAAACTCACGAACTATGAGATCATGACCTGAGCCGAGGTCGGACCCTCAACCGACGGAGCCACCCAGGTGCCCCTAGAGCTATGTTTTTCTAATACCACTACTGTGTAATCGAACCTGCCCTAAACACGTGGACCTCGTGGCCCACGTCTAAGGGCTGGCATGCTTGGACATGACCTAGGACCCCGGCACAGGGCTCCTTTCCAGGGAGAGGTAGTGTCACCATCCGTGGGGCGGCCCACAAGATTCACTCGGTCCTCGCGGAAAACACGCGCGGTGTGGCCGGCCTCCTCGTGTGGCACATGCTGCCCCCGCCCCCGACAGGCTAGCTGCACACGGGCTCCCGGGGTGGTGGTTCCTGGTAGCTCATTTCCAGCACTCCGCTTTTCTTTCTCTATAGCCCTGTTGGAACAGGTTCCTGCACATCCACGGCCTCGCCTGCCACCCACCTGCCCACTCGCCAGTCACACCCCCAGCTCCGCACAGCATCCTCTGCTGCTGGCTCCATGCCTCTCCCTGGACATCCAGTAGCGTCCTGGGTGTTTCCTCGCTGGCTCTGAAAAGCCTTCAGAGGTTGTTCATCACTTAAAAAGGAGATTTATTGGGACACCTGGGTGGCTCAGTCGGTTAGGCGTCTGAGTTCGGCTCAGGTCATGATCTTGCGGTCCATGGGTTCAAGCCCCACTTCAGGCTCTGTGCTGACAGCTCGGAGCCCGGAGCCTGCTTCAGATTCTGTGTGTCCCTCTCTCTTTGCTCCTCCCTGACTCATGCTGTCTTTCTCTGTCTCTCAAAAATAAAATAAAAACATTAAAAACAATTAAAAAAAGGAGATTTATTAGTATCATGTGTCTTCATTCCAACAAGAAGAGGTAAAATGCCCAATAGTGTTTTAGAAAAGGAATAACTTGGGGCGCCTGGGTGGCTCAGTCGGTTAAGCGGCCAACTTCGGCTCAGGTCATGATCTCGCAGTCCGTGAGTTTGAGCCCCGTGTCGGGCTCTGTGCTGACAGCTCAGAGCCTGGAGCCTGTTTCCAACTCTGTGTCTCCCTCTCTCTGACCCTCCCCCGTTCATGCTCTGTCTCTCTGTGTCTCAAAAATAAATAAACGTTAAAAAAAAAATTTTAGAAAAGGAATAACTTGACTTAGTTTGATCACTCTCTGACACTACAGAAATGCGAAGGTGGGACGGTGCATATTGGTGGAGTTCAAGTCATTGTCAAGGAAACATACAACTGGAGTAGCCTGGTCAGTAATGAGTCCCCAGTCATCCCAGTGGCATGGAATCATCTGTCAGTTACAACAGGGACACGTGACACATTCTGGTCCACAGCCAGGACCAGAACATTTCTGGAATTTTCTGGAAAATTTCTTCCTTCCGATTGCACCAATTATAGGCAGGTTTTTCTACAGAGTTCATACCAAATTTTGCAATATGTATTATAAGTCACTTACTAGATCCATAAATTTGTAGTCGATTCGATACCTGTCTTGCATTTCAGTATGTCACCTCCAGGTGACCTGTCCCGCAGTTTGTGGTTCCAGAAAGAATTATGTTCTCACAATTCCATGTTTGACTTTATTTCTCTTCTCGGAGATAAGCTCCCTTTATCACCCAGGTTGGTAAAGAAAGCTAGTATTTGCGCTCATCTAAGCTACACATTGAACTGTTTTTAGGAATCGTAAAGTCTTGGTATGTAATCTTTTATGTTAACCACTTTCACTGCTCTGAAAAAGTTTTTGTTAGGCTATTACTATTATTGCTATTTGCTTAGTTCTTCACGGTAAGAATCATAAATGCTGCTAAATATTCGCGTCATTTCATGTTTATCTCCTTACAAAAACTATAAACTCTATGAAATAAATATAACACCAAAAAAGTAGCCCTGTTTGTTTCCCAACCGTTATATATATTTTTTTCATTTCTGATTCCTTCTGTTCAACGGTAGAGAAGCTGAGAGGTTTGCATACAATTTAGTGGAGTCTTTAATTTTAGACCAGCTTCGGCGACACCTGCAGGTGACGGGGTCTGTCTGCCCTGCTATTGCAAACGACACTGAAATTCACATACCAAGAGGATTCTTTGCTTTGCCGTGGTTCATCAAAAGTAGCCAAACAACTCATCACAGAAATGATTTGCGGGAGAAACTCAAATAAACGTTTAAAGCTTGTATCCCTTCGTTAAAACCTCCCTTCCCTTGTCCCTCACCGCCTGCTCTGGGGGCACCAGGACAGTGAAATGGCTGAACCCCGGGCTCCGCTATTTACTCAGTTTAGATCTTGAGCAGGTGTTTAGCCATCGGATCGTCCCTGTGCGTGTGAAAGGACCCTAATCTCTGCCCTTTCAGGAACGTGGGGCGGCAGGAAGCATGTGTGTGGCTCCTGGCAGAGAGCAGGATCTTCTCCACAGGGCGACCACAGCGACCACAGCCCATTCTTCCTCCTTCTCTTGCTGGTTGGGCAGAAGGAAATCAGGTAGTCAAACGGCGGGTGAGGAAAGCAAGCATCTGGGGGCACTGCACCCACAACATAACCTGGGTCTGGCATTTCGTGGAGGCACAGGCTTGTGGAGCTGCCGAGCCCCTTGGGGACTCTCTTGCCCATCCTTCATCTGGCGGGGTTGGGGGGGGGGCACACGCCCACGGCCATGATGCCCAGGCATGATGAGCGAGAATTTCAACTCACAGAAAAAAATACGATCGAGAAACATAAACACGCCTCGTCATCAACAGAGCGGTGCCCCAGCGTGAGGCTCTCCATGATCAGACATTCACGCAGACAGAGGCCAGCGGACAGGGGAAGGCCGTGTCACGGGGCTGGAGCCGGGAGCCACGGGGCGCTCTGAAACTTAGAAGCAATCTCCTTATACACAAGAGAGGACGTATTCTTTCACATGCTTGCCAATCTTTTTGACTGCTGCTGTTTTATTTTCCTTTTGGCTCAGAACTTACGAGGTTATAATTAGGACTTGAAAATGTACGGTAATTTACATTCACCGATAAGGACGGTAAAAAATTGAAAACTTCGCAAACCTAAGAGTTTATTCAAGTTAGTATAATCAGAAAACTCTTCCTGCCTCGTTGGAAGGCGACCCAGTCTGACTTCTTCTCGTGTTCTGGAGGAAACCGTGGGAGGCTTGATTTGACGACTCTGTTGGATGACATGGCCAGTTAGCGTCCACGCCCCACAGTCGTAGTCTGCTGTTCTCTCTGCTGGAGCCTGTTGCCCGCTGCTATTTTCAGGCTCGCTTTAGGGACAGGTATCTGTGCTTTTAGTGCCGAGAGGGCGATGGTACCAGGCATTTGTGTCACATGCTGCTGCTGGGACCGCCTGACTCTCCCTCTGGCGCTCGGCCTCCCTGCCGCCAGGTCATGGACCGTCACAGACTTTTCTCTCGCTCAACAAGCGTGGGCTTTCTATCTAGGAGCCACCGGGACGTTACAATCCGAGTTATGACTCGAACGACAGAATGCATCACCGGGGCGACACTCACCTACTAGAAATCGGGGATCAGTGACCCAGTCATCCGCATACACCGCATACTGACTCAAATATCTGCTCTGCAAGTAGCCATTATAGACACAGAACGTGAACGCCAACGTACACGTGTACAGGGGCATCGGCTTTCCTCCTCGGATGAGAAGCGGGAAAATCAAGGACCTTAGGAAACATGAAACAGAAACAAATTTAAATAAAACACAGACCGATGGTCCAGAACATCATTTCCGCAATTCTCTTTAAAGTCTTGGGTTTTTCATCTTGCTTCCTTCCTTGTACACAAGTCATCGTCAGTACTACTGGTCCTCATTTACTATGTTCAAAGCAGAATTCCTCAATCAAGAATTCACCATGTTCCAGTAATGCTCATCACGGTGTGCAGACTCAGGATTCTAATGATACAGAACGGGAAACAGACATGCTGAGAGAGAACCGAAGGCTTCCAGAGGCTCTCGGAATGTGCACGATCCTCCCTTGCTCTAGTCTGAGCAGTGGGATGTGGGGACACCATCATGTCATCAGTCAGCACAGTGGCTGTATTCACTGAGCACTCACCACCCCACTCACAGCACTCAGAGACACCCGCACAGGAAACACCATTACACCTTCTTGGTGGGGGTGAGGGGAGGGTAGGGAGATAGAACGGACTCACAGCGGTTAAGCAATCGGTCCAAGGTCACAGAGCTCAAGTGTAAACCCAGGTAACTCAAAGGCCACATTCCTCTGTTCCAGCACACTACTGAAAGTTTAGGGAGAGAAAACGTAAGGACAAGTAAGTGACCCTTGTGAAGAAAAGAGGAGGCGATACTGGAGTGTGAATTCCTTCTGTAACATCAATACGTAATACACCGAAAGGGGCCGTCACTACACATCCCATGGGCCTTAAGAGGATAGTAAAGAACTGTCATCTACAACTTTATGCCAATAAATGTGACAGTCTGGACAGCATACACAAAATCCTTAAAAGGCACAGGCGACCAAAGCTGACCCAAGGAGAAACCGACAGGCTGAATAGCCATCTCTTAAGGAAAGAAACGGAAGCAGACTTAGGAAGTTCTAACAGGCACAACTGGAGTCAGGGGAGGGGGATGGCTTCGGAAAGGCACAGGGACATTGACGGGAACGCAGCCGTTCTGTATCTTGAATGTGGTGATGATTACACGCGGTCTACAATCCTCAAAATTGACCAAACCACAACATGGCCACGGTCACTTGCTTGGGTCCTGCCTGGGGCTGCTCACCAGCTAGGCCTGCAGACCCGGGGACAGGGGGAGGGGCTGGGGGGGCACGTGGTCTGTGGTGCGGCGTCTCAAGCCTCACCTGTCCGTGTCCCTGCTCGGAGCGCCACAAACCACCGTGTGGTGGCATTCTGAGTGCCGCCTGTGTCCCTGTACCGCGCACCTTATTCTCTTACCGGCGCACACGTGTCCCGCACAGACAGGGAAGCGGGCTCTTCGTGCTCGGGAGGTACGGTGGAGTGTGGCTAAGTTTATTACTGCTCCGGACAGCAAAGCGGTGTGGTTCACAATGACGCCTGGGCTCCTCCGGGAGACCACGCCAGAGGTTGGCACGACGGGACTAAGAGGTCACCGCCACGTTGTCCCCGACACACGGGAAAGTGACGGTCAGAAAAAAACGGAGAACTGGAAACGGAAACGCTTGACACAATTTTACAGAAGAAATGCAAATGAGGCCGCAAGCACCGAAGCTGCCCGGTGCCCCTTCGGTTAGCCGAGGAAAGCCGCGTGCCAGCCCCGAGCTCGCCGCCTGCGGCCAAGAAGCACGTTCAGATGGCAGAACGGCGTGCAGCGTGGGATCGCCCTTCGGTGAGGACGGCTGCTCCAGGAGTCTGGACGCCAGGAGTGAAGTTCAGCAAACCGTCCAAAATCAAGGCCAACGTTTGAGCAAGCCATCTTCCTGGTCCCGGGTGTCGCCCGTACCGCTGAGCAGTGGGGGCCGAGGCTGAGTTGGCTCTAAATGGTCCTCGAGAAGCAACTGATGGTGACAGTGTCTCCGCCATTGAGGAAACACTGACTCGGTACAACCGTGGTGGGATCTGCTAGGGTGTTGTAGCTGCTGGGGGTGGAAACGAACTTGGCAGACTTACACAGCCCGTGCCAATGTCAGGTGTTGAAAGCCACCCTCTGGATCAGCAGGTACTTTGCCTCCCCCCCTGCCTCCCGGCAAACTCTATTGCGTGTGACTGAATTAACAGTGTCAGCAGCGAACCTGATGGTCCCTCCCTGGACCTAACCACCATTTTCAGTTCAGAGCCAAGACTGAATGTTTTCTTTATGAGAAAAATGGCCCTCGACCACTATTACTGCGTTTCGAAGGGCTCTGGAAATTAGCCTTTTTTGCTGCAGAGTTGATAGCGTTCCTCAGGGAATTCGACCTAAAATTATAAGGCAAAATATCACTTTTGTGCAAAACCTATGCTATGTTAGTCACTTCAGCAAAAACGGACGTTGTCTGAACCACAGGTCATGCCAGACTACTTTCTGTGCCGTTGAAATCAAAACCGGCAGCGAGATCTCCATTCTCACAGAAACTTGAAATGGATGTGATTTCTCAGCTCAAACCAGAGCTTAGAAATCCAGTGTGTTTTGAACATTTCAAAACCTATTTCACTGTATAATTGAGGAGCTTCCACCAGCCAAGTGGAAGAGACTCATCTACGATGTAATGATGCATGGAAGGACAAACCTCAGCAGAAGAATCTAGAATTCGGAAGGACAACCCTCGGCAGAAGAGTCTAGAATTCCAGAGATGCCTTTCGAGCAATCTGAATACGTTAAATTAAAATCAGAAACTTGTCGGGGTGCCTGGGTGGCTCAGTCAGGTAAGTGTGATTTCGCCTCTTGATTTTGTCTCAGGTCAGGATCTCACGGTCATGGGATCGAGTCCCGTGTCGGGCTCCATGCTGAGCGTGGAACCTGCTTAAGATTCTCCCCCTCCCTCTCTCTATGCCCCTCTCCCCCCTGCTCGTGTGCACTCACTCTCTAAATAAATAAATAGAGACACTTGTGGACTGAAATTAATATTTGGTAGAACCCACACACGTGAAGACATTTTCAAAGCTAAAGTCTCATTGCCCATCAGCAGTAAGGGGTGAATGCTTACTGTGGGTATTGGGAAGCGTGCACACTGACTCTGAGGCCAAAAAAGGGAATGTGACCCCTCCCCCCCACCAAATAAAGAATTCCATGCTTCCCATCACACCTGTGTTACAAAAATTACACTAAGGTAACAGAGCGTGAATTTTACAAGTATACGTCTTGTGAAATATCTCTTTCTCAATATCCCTTACTTTGTCCCTTGGTCCATAAAGCTTAGAAAAAGCACTATCTGGCCCTTTCTGAAAAAGCAGTTTTGACCTCCAACTGAAATGGAAATAGGAGTTACACTCTGGAAACGTCAGTTTGCCTTCCTCAGAAAGCTCGCTTCCTCCACACCCCAGGACTCAGGTTGCAGGCAGCCAGCCCCTTGGGTCTGGGGTCCGTCTGGGCCACGAGGTGGGGACAGCACGCCTGTGTCCTCAGCTACGCAATGGGAGAGAGAGTCGCACTGATCTGCTCCAGAGTGTCCTGGGGGAGCCCGGAAAGGACGCGCGTAAAGGACCCGGGGAGAGGATTCACTTCTGTCTAGTCTCAAAGAAGGTGAATTTCAGAAAAGTGGCAAGGACTGGAAATAGGGCCTCAGAAAGGTCGACACAGACCTCTCCTGTTTCTCTTATCTCTGCCCTTGAGGGGACAGCAGTGACCCGGACGTCCACAGGCCTGGCCATAAAACCACCGAGGTCAGGAGAACACGTTGGCTCAGGCGATGCGGCCTATGCCTTCAGACCTCAAGCGGGGAGATAACATCTTCCTCCCCCACCCCCCCCCGCCTTCCGAAAGGCTCCGTGCACCAGCGTGGGTCAAGTGCTCCTGGCCCTGAGGTCTTCAGATGCAACGCACCTTCCCAGGCGAACCACTCTGCTTGATCTTGGTAGGTTTTGGATTGTCTTTCTCCTTTTAGGCTATCCCTTTCAGCTTTACTTCTTTTGCCTTGGAAGTCCATGCAGCATGTCAGGAAGGGTTTCCTTTGTTTTTGTTTTAAATAAATGTTTATTCATTTTTGAAATGGGGAGCAAAGGATCTGAAGCAGGCTCTGCACTGTCAGCACAGGGTCCGATGTAGGACTCGAACTCATGAACCTCGAGATCATGACCTGAGCCAAAGTCAGACGCTTAGCCGACTGAGCCACCCAGGGGCCCCTAAAGGGTTTCTTTGAATTGGGCCCACTAGGAACCAAAATGGTGGGTGGGTGCGGGGGCTTCTGGGCATGAATTTTATCCGAACCTTCATCTAGTCTCTAGACGGACAAGGGCAAACCAAGGGTTGCAGTGGACCCCAGGCGGCTTATCATGGCGTACGATCTCTTTAAGATGCGGGGCCGGGCTCAGTGAGGAAGGTGGACACATGTTCTGGAGCCACACGGCACTTGTCGCGAGCCGGTGCTCTGGAGCCCAGGCCGCCTCGGTGATGACAGGCCCGCGTGTCAACAGCCCTCACGTGGTGTCTCATCTGCGTGCACAAGCACCCTTCCGCAGGAACCGTGGGGAATGAACACTACCCCTCTTCGAGAAGAGGTATGAAGTCAGAAATTGAAAATCCCCGAACACCGAAATCATCTGCAAGACAAACTGTGACGTGCTCAGACTTAAAAATACTTTATTTCGGTGATGTGTTACACAAATCCACGTTCGGTTCTGATAATGAGCTGAAGGATATGAAACGGTAAGGTCCCAGGGAGCTACAAAGAGATTCTGTTTTCCAACTTGTCAGATGGAGTGTGGGACTGAATCTGATGCTTTGTTCTCCACCATGTAACAATATCCTATTTATTTTCTTTCTTTCTGTCCCGTGTAAAGAAACAGTACTTACTTTCCATCAAGTTGTGTTTAGCCACGGAAACGTGCACATCTCTGTGGCTGTCGGGCCACCAGGGCTGTGGGACACGTCTAATGAGGGGGCTGGACAGGGAGCTTTCAGAATGTCTGTGGGGCTCCTGTCTGTCTCCCACTTGGGCGAGTTTACAGGCTTGGGCACAGAGCATGATGTACGTGTTTCTCACTGTTCCCGATGAAACGTTCCTAGTAACTCCTAATCCTATACGACATGCTTTTTTTTTTTTTTTTTAACACTTCAAACCTGTTACTATTACCCTATTTAACAGATCGGGACCCGGGGGGCTCAGAGGAGCACGGTGACTTCGGTGACAGACCCACTCAGGCAATGTCACCTTCCCAGGTGTTCTACCTACTGCATCCACAGGACACACTGAGAAGCAGGACTGGCCTGGCCACCCCATGGCACATGACACGGTCGTTTTTGTTAAGTGTTTCTACTAAGCCAGAAGGACACTGCCGTTATTATACTGATTGACAAAGGGAGGGGGTAACAAGATTGTGTGTTTATGCCTGTATACATCCTTACTGCTTTGAAAAGACAACCCCAAACCTCCTGAAGACAATGGCAGACGGGGGAAAAGGATACACTAGAATTCTGTCAGCGTTTTAAGTGATGAAATTTCAAGTGGTTTTTAATCGCTTCCTTCGATTCTAAGTCTTCTACAAGGAGCACATACTTCGACTGCAGGTGTATTTGCATGTGATACCAGCATGGATTGCAAGTCCTGGCCCCTCATACATTTGGAACAGACCAGAGGAGTAAGAGGGAGAGAAATGAGGCTTCCCAGGCTGAAGGTCTGTGATCGCCATCAGAAGGGCTCAGGGAGGATCGGGCAAAACTAACTACAAGTAGACACGCAGAGTGTCTGCAGGCAAGTTCCTGGATGTTAAGGAAAACAGAAAGTATTCTGTAAACACCTGGGAAGGGAAATGGATTACCAACAAGAACAAAGGTCACCAAAGCTAGCCTGTGTCACTGTGGTTGCTGCACAGTGGTGACCAGAGCTCCGTGCTCCTCGCCCTCTCAAGCCCTGTGCTGCATGGAGTGTTTCCTTGGGCTACGAGCCAGAGAGACTGATGCCGTACAAAACCCAACTCACTGGTCAGTAAGTCCACGCCCGTGTGCTAGGTGTGGTCTGCTCGGAGGGAGAAATACCTGAGGGGAAGCATCCCCATCAGACGTCAACACTTGGGCAACAACTTGAAATCACGATCCTTTAAACTTTTAAGGTACGATTTTCAGGTTTCTAAAATGTTAAATGTTTCTTTTGGGACATAGTTATTTACTATTTTAATAGTTTTAAAGTTTTATTGATTTGTTCATTTGGAGAGAGAGAGAATCCCAAGCAGACTCCATGCTGCCAGCTGGGAGCCCGACGGGGGTCTCGAACCCACAAAACTTGAGATCATGTCCCGAGCCAAAATCAAGAGTCAGAGGCTTAACCGATGGAGCCACCGGGGCGCCCCTGATTTTCGGGTTTCCAAATCCAGATATGAGCTGTGGGACCACGTAATTCACAAACTGAACTATGAGAATTATCTCCTGAAATGTTTTCCCAGCAAACTAGAATAACAACATGTAGTTATTTTTGCAAAGAGAAACAGCATGTTCATCCAGCAAGTGATTTGACTCTCGAAATAAAAGCAACTGGACATCATGTCCCAGGTACAACAAAACACCCCTTTTGGTGATTTGGCAGCCATTTAGGTAATGGTCGACTTAATCATTTTAGACGTTTAAAACGGAGAATGGTTGTTAATTTTAATAACAGGCTGTCACCACTTTTTTTTCTCAACAATTCGACGTCACTGAATTCTACAGCACCTCCAAGATGTGGATCAGTTCCTGTTTGGGTTTTTTTTTTTTCCCCTCTGTAACACTCTTTTGCAACGAACTGCACAGATCCCTATAAGGCCACATACTTAATTAAGCTCTGTGCGCTTTTAAGGCAAGGTTACAGACACGATGAATATTTCACTACCTGTAATTCTATACTTTTGTATAAAAGGTTTTTTTCTCTCAAATTATTTGCGTCTACAAGGCAAGGGCCAGGGGTTCGGTGTATCCCCCACCGCCAGTGTTTCCTGACATCTTCTAACATCACACACGCCATATGCCACTTTTATTTACTTATTTTTTAAATGTGTATTTATTTTTGAGAAAGAAAGAGAGACAGAGTGCCAGCTGGGGAGGGCAGGGAGAGAGAGGGAGACACAGAATCTGAAGCAGGCTCCAGGCTCTGAGCTGTCAGCACAGAGCCCGATGCGGGGCTCGAACCCACAAACCATAAGATCATGACCTGAGCCAAAGCTGGATGCTTAACCGACTGAATCACCCAGGCGCCCCAGCATATGCCACATTTAAAAGTGAGGCTAGGGCCTGGATCTCCCCAAGGGGCCACCAGCAGAACAGAACAGGAGAAAGGATGAGTCGATGTAGGGGAGATTCTTTGGGGATCACAATCAGGGGTTAACAACAGAATCGAGGTCCTGCAAGGTCACAGATCTGGCTGGGCACAGACCTTGGGGGAGGGTGTTAGGATGACGAGGGCCTTGTGGGCATCTGAAAGTCTGCCCTCCGGGGGCCATCCAGCTCTCTCCCTCTGCCTCAGGGTAAAGGTGGTCACTGGGGCCTCGGTGGTAACCAGCGCCATGTGCTCAAGTGGGACTTCCTGACAACGGTTAAACGGGCAAGTGAATGAATAAATCCAGCAACTCCCTCGTTCACTAGTTCACTAACTCACTGCCTCATGGGAAGCAGAAGTTCATGAGCAAGGGCAGCCTTCGGCTCAGTGAATACTGAAAAAACCTGCTTGGCAGGAGAGAGAGCAGCAGAACAGGAGGGCCCAGGGCAGTCTAGGGAGCCATACCAAGGGACTCTGCAGACGCAGGGATGCTTGGTGAGTGCCCGCAGGGAACCACTGCCAATGGCCAGCGCGCGCTTGCCTGTAGGACCCCAGGCACCGCTCCACGCACAGCAAAACCAAGGGTGGTGTGAGAAGATACCACCCGAGCCCTCAAGGACCCAGAAGCCCTGCGATCAGCGTGGGAGCTCAGTGCAGACGGGATTCAGGTGCACACTGTAACCATCCAGGGCTGTGGGACTGTGCTGTCTGCCATGGATTAAAAATGCGCCTACAAATGTCCTTTCCTGCCTATGGGGGAAGTGCTCAGGGCCCCAGGACGTTCTTTCCCACACCTATCCCCTCTTCCCCTCCTTCTCTGACTCTTCTGCCAAGAAGATCCTGTAGATTCTTCTGTCTTGCATTCCTGCACTCCTTAAGGAAGTATCTTGTCTCTACATCCCCAGTAATGAGTATAGTGCCAGGTATGTTAATCAATCTTCAGAAACGTGTGCCGAATAAATGCATGAAGACACATGGGCTGCCCCTCTCCTGTAAGCAAACACCCCCTTTCCCATTGACGGTGGGAAAGTCTCTGCACCTGCCTTTGGTCCTCCCCACTCCTTCAGGTGGCTAAAACTTCCCTGGGGCAGGGCCCTGCCTCACTCCTGGGTGATCTCAGAGCTCAGCATAGGGCCTCCGCAGCTCACAGTGTCTGGTCTTCCTCAGTCCTGTGTCCTGGGCAGGGCCCCGTGCAAATGGCGGGGTTGCACAAATGCTGGCTGGGTTGGCCGGATGCTTTACAACAAGTGCTAAATGCTGTTTGCGTTTCTGTTC